ATCATCATCATCCGAATCATCATCATCATCATCATCATCATCATCATCATGGTCATCATCGTCGTCATCATCATCATCATCATCATCATCATCCGAATCATTATCATCGTCATCCGAATCATGATCATCAACATCATCATTATCGTCATCATCATCATCCAAATCATCATCATCCGAACCGTCATACGAATCATCATCAACATCTTTAGGATCGTCTTCATCATCATCCGAATCATCATCATCATCCAAATCATCATCCAAATCATCATCATCATCATCCGAATGGTCACCATGCTAATCATAACCATCACCTTCACCATAATCCGAATCATCATGCGAATCAACATCACCATCATCATCGTCATCATCATCATCCGAATCATGATGATCATCATCCGAATCATCATCATCATCATCCGAATCACCGGCCGAATCATCATCATCATCATCCTAATCCTCAACATCCGAATCATCAACTTCATCGGAATCGTCATCAACATCATCGGAAAGATCATGATCCGAATCATCATCGTCATCATCATCATCATCCGATACATCATCATCATCTGAATCATTATCCTCATCATCCGAATCATCATCATCATCAACGGAATCATCATCGTCATCTTCCCAATCATCATCATAATGCGAATCATCATCATCATCATCCGAATCGTCATCATAATCATCCGAATCATCTCCATCATTATCATCATACGAACCATCAACATCACCATTATTATCATCATCATCATCCGAATCATCATCATCATCATCCGAGTCATCATCATGCGAATAATCAGCCGAATTATCCGAATCATAGTCAACATCATCCGAATTATCATCATCCGAATCATCAACATCACCATCATCATCATCCGAATCATCATCCGCATCATCATCATCATCATACGAATCATCATCATCACCATCTGAAACATCATCATCATCATCAACATCATCATCATCATCATCATCATCATCCGAATCAACACCATTATCCGAATCATGATCATCCGACTCATCTTCCGAATCGTCGTCATCATCACCCCAAACATCATCATCCGAATCATCAGCTTCATTGGTCTAATCATCATCCGAATCAAGATCACCATCATCATCATCATCATCATCATCGTCATCATCCGAATCATCATCGTCGTCGTCATCAGCGTCATCCGAAAAATCATCATCATGATCCGAATCATCATCATGCGAATCTTCATCCGAATCATCGTCATCATCACCGAATGATCATCATCCGAATCATCATCATCATCATCCGAATCATCATCATTATCATCCGAATCATCATCATCATCATCCGAAGCATCATCTTCAGCACCCGAGTCGTCGTCATCCGAAACATCATCCAAATCATCATCATCATCATCATCCGAATCAACATCATCATCGTCCGAATCGTCATCATCCGAAACGTCATAGGAATCATCATCAACATCATGAGAATCATCATCATCAGCATCAGAATCATCATCATCATCCGAATCAATATCATCGTCATCCGAATCATCGTCAACAACATGCGTATCATCATCGTCATCATCCGAATCATCATCATCATTATCATCCCCATCATCATGATCTTCATCATCATCATCATCATCCGAATCATCATCATCCCAAGCGTCATCCGATTCATCATCATCATCATTCGAAACATCATCATCATCATCATCCGAATCATTATCATCATCATACGAATCATCATCATCATCCGAATCATCGTCCTCCGAATCATCATCGTCATCATTCGAAACATCATCATCATCATCATCCGAATGATTATCATCATCATACGAATCATCATCATCATCCGATTCATCATCCTCATCATCGGCATCACCATCATCATCATCCAAATCCTCATCATCATTCAAATCATCATCATCATCATCATCCTCCTCCTCCTCCTCCTACTCCTCCTCCTCCTCCTCCATCATCATTGCCATTATCATCGTCATCATCATCATCTTCATCATCATCATGCCATCATCAACATCATCGTCATCTTCCGAATCATTATCATCATCATCATCATTATCATGATCATCATCATCAACCGAATCATCATCATCCGAATCATCATCATCATCCGAATCGTCATCATCATCATGCGAATCATCATCATCAACATCATCATCATCATCATCAACCGAATCATCATCATCCGAAGCCTCATACGAATCATCGTCAACATCATTCGAATCGTCATCATCATCATCCGAATCGACGTCATCCATATCATCATACAAATCATGATCATCATCATCCGAATGATCATCATCCGAAACATAACCATCATCTTCATCATAATCCGTATCATCATGCGAATCATCATCATCATTATCCTCATCATGATCATCATCATCATCGCCATCCGAATCATGATCATGATCATCCGAATCATCATCATCATCATCCGAATGATCATCATCACCATCAACCTAACCATCAACATAATGCCAATCAGCATCAAAATGCGAATCATAATCATCATCATCCGAATCATCATCATCATCCTCCGAATCGTCATCCGAATCATCATCATCATCCGAATCATCATCATCATCATCATCGTCATCATCATCATCATCATCATCAACATCATCATCCTCATCCGAAACATTATCATCATCATAGGAATCATTATCATCATCATCATCCGAAACAACATCATCATCCGAATCAGCATTCTCATCATAATCATCATCCTCCGAATCATCATCATCATCATCCGTATCAATATCATCATCATCCAAAGCATCATCTTCATCATCCGAGACGTCGTCATCAGAAACATCATCCAAATCATCATCATCATCATCCGAATCATCATCATCATCATCCGAGTCATCATCCTCCTCCTCCTCCTCATCATCATCATCATAGTCATCACCATCATTCGGATCGTAATCATCCGAATCATCATCATCGTCGTCATCAGCACCATCCGAATAATCATCCGAATCATCATCATCATCATCCCAATCATGGCATCCGAAGCGCCATCCGAAACATCATCATAATCGTCCGGATCGTCATCATCCGAATCATCAGCACTGTCATCCGACTGATCATCCGAATCATCATCATCATCATCATTAACATCATCATCCGAATCATCATCATCATCCGAAACATCATCATCATCATCGTCATCATCATCCGAATCATCATCCGAATCATCATCATCATCATCATCCGAATCATCATCATCATCCGAATCATCAACATCACCATCCGAATAGTCATCATCATCCGAATCATCATCATCATCATCATCATCATCATCATCCGAATGATCGTCATCCGATTCATCATCATCATCAACCGAATCATCAACCTCATCTTCCGAATCATCAACATAATGCGAAACATCATCAACATCATCCGAATCCTCATCATCATCATCCGAATCATTATTCGAATCACCATCATCATCATCCGATTCATCGTCATCATCAACATCATGATCATCCAAATCATCATCCGAAACATCATCATCATCATCCGGTTCATCCTCATTCGAATTATCATCAGAAACATCATCACCATCGTCATCATCATGATCATCATCATCATCGTCATCTACATCATCATCATCATCATCATCATTATCATCATCATCCGAATCATCACCATCATCATCCGAATCATCATCTTCATCATCCGATTAATCATCATCATCCAAATTATCATCCGAGTCATCATCAACATCATTATCATAATCATTCGAATCATAATCATCATCATCCGAATCATCATTCGAATCATCATCATCATCATCCGAGTCATCATCATCATCATCATCATTATCATCCGAATCGTCATCATCTTCATCCGAATCATCATCGTCAATCGAATCATCATCACCTTCATCCGATTCATCATCATCATCTTCCGAGTCATCATCATCATCAACAACATGATCCGGATGATCATCATTATCGGAAAATTCATCCTCATCCGCGTCATCATCATCATCCGAATCATCATCCGAATTATCATCCGAATCATCATCATCATCATCCGAATCATCATCCGAGTCATCACCATCGTCTTCCGATTCATCATCATCATCATCCGAATCATCATCATCATCTTCCGAGTCATCATCATCATCAACAACATGATCCGGATGATCATCATTATCCGAAAATTCATCCTCATCCGCATCATCATCATCATCCGAATCATCATCCGAATGATCATCCAAATCATCATCATCATCATCCGAATCATCATCCTCATCATCGGATTAATCGTCATAATTATCCGAAACATCATCATCCGTATCATCATCTTCATCACCAGCATCATCATCCGAATCATCATCATCCGATTCATCATCATCAACATCCGAAACATCATCACATTCATCCGAATCATCATCATCATCATCATCATCATCATCATCGTCATCATCATCATCATCAACATCATTATCATCACGGTCATCATTATCATCATCATCCTCCGAATCATCGTCGTCCTCATCCGATTAATCATCATCATCCGAATCATCATCATCATCCGAATTATCATCGGAATCCTTATCAACATCATTATCACAATAATCCGAATCATCATCATCATCATTCGAATCATCATCCGAATCATCATTCGAATCATCATCATCATAATCCGAGTCAACATCATTATCATCAATATCATCCGAATCATCAACATCTTCATTCGAATCATCATCATCAATCGAATCATCATCACCATCATCCGATTCATCATCATCATCATCATCCGAATGATCATCATCATCGTCCGAATCATCATCATCATCAACTTCATCATCCGCATCATCATCATCATCCGAATCTTCCTCATCATCATCGACTCATCATCATCATCATCCGATTTATCATGATCATCATCCGAAACATCATCATCCGAATCATCATCATCATCACCGTCATCGTCATCTGAATCATCATCCGAATCATCATCATCATCATCCGGTTCATCCTCATCCGAATCATCATCCGAATCATCATCATCATAACCATCGTCAACATCATCATCATCATCATTATCATCATCATCCGTATCATCATCATCATCATCCGAATCATCATCATCATCATCCGATGAATCATCATCATCCGAATCATCACCATCATCCGAATTATCATGAGAGTCATCATCGACATCAATATCATAATCATCCGAATCATCATCATCAGCATCCTAGTCATCATGATCCGAATCCTCATCCGAGTCATCACCATCACCATCCGAATCATCGTCATCAACGGAATCATCATCAACGTCATCATCATCATCATCATCATCGTCCGAATCATCATCATCATCATCATCCGAATCATGATCATCATCATCCGATTAATCGACATCATCATCCGTGTCATCATCATCCGAAACATCTCGATCGTCAGCATCATCTTCATCCGATTCATCATCATCATCACCATCATCACCATCCGAATCATCATCCGGAACATCATCATCATCATCATCATCATCATCATCATCCGAATAATCGTCATCATCATCCGGTTGATCATCATCATGCGAATCATCATCATCATCCGAATTATCATCCGAATCATCATCAACATCAATATCGTAATCATCCGAATCATTATCATCATCATCCGAATCATCAGCATCATCATCCGACTCATCATCATCATCGTTCGAGTCATCATCACCATCATCATCATCATGCGAATCATCATTATCGTCCGTATCATCATTATCATGCGAATCAACCACATCATCATCCGAATCATCATCATCATCATCCGANCGAGTCATCATCATCGACAGCATCATCATCACCGTCATCGTCGTCATCCGAATCATCATCCGAATCATCATCATCATCATCCGAATCATCACCGTCATCATGCGAGTCATCATCACCATCATCATCATCATGCGAATCATCATTATCATCCGAATCATCATTATCATGCGAATCGTCCACATCATCATCCGAATCATCATCATCATCATCCGAGTCATCATGCGAATCATCATCCGAATCGTCATCATCCTCATCCGAGTCATCATCGTCATCATCATCATCATCACCATCATCGTTGTCATCCGAATCATCATCCGAATCATCATCATCATCATCCGAATCACCATCATCATCATCCGAATCAACATCATCATCCGAATCATCAACCGAATCGTCATCATCCGAATCATCATCATCATCACGCAATGATCATCGTCCAAATCATCATCACTCTCAACCGAATCATCATCATCATCATCCGAATCATCATCATACGAATCATCATCGGAATCATCATCATCATCATCCGATTAATCATCATCATCATCCGAATCATCATCATCATCATCCGAATCGTCATCATCGTCATCCGAGTCATAATCATCATCAACAAGATCATCGTAATCATCATCATCAACCGAATCATCATCATCTTCATCGGAGTGATCATCATCATCATCCGAATCATCATCATCATCATCATCATCATCATCCGCATCATCATCCGAATCATCATCATCATCTCCCGGTTCATCATCATCCGAATCATCTTCCGAATCATCATCATCCGAATCATCATCACCATCATCCGAATCATCATCATCATCATCCGAATCATCATCACCCGAATCATCATCATCACCCGAATTATCATCCGAATTTTTATGGGAACGATAACGGATATAACGTAGGACGAAATTTGAATTGCGCCTAAGGACTCGGTGAACAATACCCAGCTAAGTGCAGGGAAAACGACGCGTAAGATAGGACAAATAAGCTAAGTCTAACGACGATAGCTAGC